GTGACCCAACAGAGGCAGAGAGTGAAATCCTGAGACCACTGAAGTCACTGACAAAACTCCCCTTGACTTCAATGGGTCCATGATTTTCACCCTGAGCTTCTTGGCCTTTAGAAGTCAGATGAAGACCAATCTGTCTTCACAATCATTTCTGAGAGGGCAGAGACTATTTATATGGAGAGGACTAGTTTTTGCCTGTGATAAAAGCACACATTTGACACGCGTGTGTATCCTGAGTGAAGTGGAAAGGTGCGTTTTTATAAACCTATAAGTAAAGCTGTGTCGTCAGTACTGGAGCATTCAGTTTAACTGGTGAAATCCTTTGTTAGAAAATTACTTCAATAAATTCTCTGGGAGTAACGAACGGAGAGGAGAGAGTTTGGAATAGCTGGTGGAAGCTGCTCACTTTGTGGTAGAAATGAGTTCAGAGCTCAAGGCTCTGCCTTGGGCTGCCGGATGGGGGTGGGCAGGTGAGACAGAGAGAGAGAGAGAGAGACACACACACACACACAGAGGACAGAAAGAACACTTATTTATATCTGCTGTGACACCTTCAGCTACTCAGGAGAAGTATTGACTGACTTTGGCGGGGGCAGTGTCTTGGGGTTGGGCAGGTGGGAGGGAGAGTTTGATTTTTCAAATTCAAAGGCCTTTATTGAAAGCCCAAGTAAACATTATGTGAGGCTGGTATGATGGAGCCCTAGAAGTATTTTTCTTCCAAGCAGCCATTGGTGGAGTACTATAGAAATTGTTCAAAAGCAACCATCAGCTCAGACGTCAAAGCCTGTCCTTGCACCTGTGCTTCTGATCTCCTAATATCTTAAAAACTGCAAAAGGAGATAAATAGTATTTCAGTAGTAGCATTTTTATTCATTTTTATTTCTATTTTGGAAATTATTACAAATGTCCTCACTAAATATTTAACACTTTACTGATATTCATGGACAACCTCTCAACCAGGCAATCCTCATCCCATGTCTGGACAAGCACCTCCTCCTTGATCTTCCTAACACCCATCTCCCCATCTCCTTTCCTCCCGATGCATTCAAAGTGCAGCTGCTAAGATTACTTTCCTGGCCCATTGTTTGACCAGATCACTCCTCAGCCCTCTTTGAATCCCTCCCCTGACTCCTTTGTTGGAAGAGCGGCAGAAACATTTGTGTGAGAAGCTATCGGATGGATTAGGCGGACGTTATTGGCAGAGTGAAGGACACTGGGGTGACCCAATAGGAGACAAGAACAGACATGCAATGAGAGGTTCCCATGTTTTGAAGGGCCTTATAGGTGAGCATGAAAAGTTGGAAACAGAAGGAGCCTGTTAAGGCTGCTCTAACTTACACCATCTGGCATGGTCCCCAAGGGACTGTCCTCCAGCTGGGGATATCAGCGCACAGTCTGGCCCAACCGTTTCCCCTGATATTCCCTAATCTCCCTTTGATGAACCCCAAGCTGGGGAGTTACATGCAGTCACCGCTCCCTCCGCACTGCCAGAGATTCCTTTGTTTTTCAGTTTATAACAAAACCATTACCAGCTACTCATCCCACTTAGCCTGAATGAGAAATTTTCTCCCAAAATGTGAAGAAAATAATGTTTTAACTATTGTTGTGACTTTCCCCTCGACGCCCTCTACAATATTGTAGAACCGTGCAAATCTGCACACCACTTAATCCTCAACCAAACTGTCTTTCTCCCCACATCTGAGCAAAGATGCAACCCTAGCGTGAAATTTCCTATAACTAAGAGAGTGAGATATTATCATAAATAATTCAACCTAAACTGTAGTTGTCAAAATTAATGAGCAAAGTACATTTTGCGATCCTAGCTCTGTTGTTGTGTGTATTCACTTCCTTGCTAATTTGCAAAGATCAGGAGACCAGTGTCTCCTAGTCATTAGTGTGTATTAGCAAGATTCTAATGTAATGCATTATTTGTGACTTGAGATGCATTTTTTAGTGTTTTTAGTAGCCAAAATGTGTGACTTTAGGAAAACAAAGTTCCAAGCACTTACGGGTCTTAAGCACTCTCCTTTTCCCACTTCAGCAGATGTAGATTGGGAACTGATGACTGAGGTCTGGGGCAGTGCATAGTTGTCACCTCAGGAAGGCATTGAACCTCTGCTGGATTAGGTAGTAAGAAGTGTCAGCCCCTTGCACAATGACACTTACTCCCCTCCTTCTGCTCTCCATTCCTGGCCAATACATGGTGGTAAAGGTGCCATTTTCACCTGCTCCCCACTCTGTTCCTCCCACTTGCTTGTGGGGAGTTGTACTGTGCATGAATCTCTGTGATCCCAGTAGGCCCTAAATGGCCATGCAGGTAGGTGTTGGTGCAGTCTTGCACAGTCAGGTAGGAAGAGGGTAAAATATAGCCCATTATGCGTTGCTTCCAAACACACTGCTACATTCCACTGAGATTTCAATGGAAGAGCCATTAGTTATGCTGTGTGCTCATATACTTAAATGAGACATTTTTCTTTCCTTACCTTTTACTGAAACTATTTTAAAGTTTCAGGAAAAGAGATTTAAATCACAAAAGCCGTCTGTGTAATGTGCTGGTAGTCAGATAATCTAACATAATTAGTGAAATTCAGAGTCGATGATGAAATGTACAGTGCAATATAGTATCTATCTAGGCATTTATACTGCATTCATCATTGTGGTATCTATCTAAACCTATGCCTTCCCATATCTAGAGCCAATCGTATCTACTTTTAAGAACTCTATCTTGAAAGGTGCTGAGCATCCTCAGTTCCCATTGAAATCCATCATCATGGGAGCAAAGGGTAATCAGAATCTCACAGGACAGGGCCATAAGGTGTCACAGGTTATGTATTAATTATATGATTACTTAAGAATTCCCAGATATCACTTTGAGGGTTGACACGTTCTTGTCCCAAGATCAGACCCCAGTATTAAAATTACTGTGTAGTTGGGAATCCCGATGTGCACAGTTGCAACACTCACACTATAGGAATCCTTCTATATGTATAATAACTTATTAATACATTTAGCAAAGTCACAAGCACTCTAACTCTTTAAGGTAGATTGAGATGATACAGAATGTACAACTGAACATCCATATACTCACAAACAGAAAAGGAGGACTTGTGGCACCTTAGAGACTAACCAATTTATTTGAGCATAAGCTTTCGTGAGCTACAGCTCACTTCATTGGATGCTGTAGCTCACGAAAGCTTATGCTCAAGATAAATTGGTTAGTCTCTAAGGTGCCACAAATACTCCTTTTCTTTTTGCGAATACAGACTAACACGGCTGTTACTCTGAAACCTGTCATATACTCACACCGTCCCTTGCAGAATAACCTGGAATGTTAGCCATTGTCTTCCTCATCACCGTCACCTTCCTCATCATCACCAGTGGCCATCATCCTGGCACCTCCCAAAGGCTACCTCTCTCTCTCCTCCCACACACAGGCTGGGATACTGCTTTTATAATACGTTACTCTGACACCACTGTGTCTAATGCATAGTCAGTAGAGATCTCTCCTCTCTTCCTTATTTGTATTTCCTCACCCTACTTATGTTGGGGTCCCCTTCTCCTACATTCATTATCTCAACTTATTCTCATACACATCAATTCATTGACATGGCACTCTTGTAGTCAGATATCTGCAGATGTTAGCTCTTGTTCCTGTGGTTGGCTGGTATCATTCTGGACAAAATTCACCTTCACGCTCTATTTCCAGTTCCCTAAAACTTAGGGGTGACCATTAGGTAATTTATCCAAAGTTCATGGGCTTCAAGCCTTATGCTAATGACTGAAGCTAATATCCTACAGGATACAGGCCTGTAGGTTTCTTGTATTACTGCTGAATATACTAAAGGCAAGCTAGCCTGATGGAATACATAACAATGAACTTCCAGACAAATGTTAACGGTAATGAAGTTGTGTGCGTTAATTCCCCATATTCTGCAACCAGAATTCATCTGTGTCTGTTCAGAAACTGAATTAGTTATAAGTGTACTTTTCTCACTGCATTCCTGGCCTTAGTGTAAGTTACAGCCAAGTTATTTGGTACCACTTCCTTTTAAAATGATTTTTCAGTCCTTGGGAGAAGTAGTTAAAATGCATGGGGGAGAGTTGACAAAGCTTATTACTGTACTAAGGTAGCTTATTGGATTTGTAAAACGCAGCAGGACTGATCCTGCAGGGTCTGGAGACCCCTTGACTTCAGTGTGAGTTGGGGTTGCTTAGCACCTCATAAAGGTGCTTAGCTCTTTGCAGGGTCAGGTTTAGTGAGAGCATGATACTTGCTCTGTGAACAGTGACATGCCTTAGGGCAGTGATTGCCAAACTGTTCAGGGTCATGCCTCCCCTTACCCCTGTCTGCACACTCCCTCACCCCCCAAGCCAGGGCCAGGAGCAGAGCCATGGCTCCAGGGGCGCGGGGAGAAGAGGATGCGGACAGGGGTTAGGGGGTCTGAGACTGGGGCCGCAGCTGTGGGTTTGGGTGTGGCTGGGAGCGGGTCCAGGGCTGGAAACGGAGCTGCAGCCAGGGTCTAAGACTGGGGATGGGGCCAGGCATGGTGCCAGGAGAGAGGGCCACAGCTGTGGGCGGGGCTGGAGCACAGCAGGATTGGGTGGCACTCCCTCCCTGCCACACATGGGGGCTGGCCTGGGCCACACCACACCCCTGCAAACGTTGTGCGCCCCACAGTTTGGGGACCTTTCCCTTCGGGTTTAAGAGTCAATGGAAACGTCTGTTAATGACAGGGTTCAGAGTAGCAGCCGTGTTAGTCTGTATTAGCAGAAAGAAAAGGAGTACTTTTGGCAACTTAGAGACTAACACATTTATCTGAGTATAAGCTTTCGTGAGCTACAGCTTATGCTCAAATAAATTTGTAGTTCATGAAAGCTTATGCTCAAATAAATTTGTTAGTCTCTAAGGTGCCACAAATACTCCTTTTCTTCTATTAATGGTGCACACAGGAGCTCATTAAGGGAGCACCAGTCTAAGTGTTTTATTCTTTTCTCAAATACAGATTGACTTGGAGCCAGAAGGAAGAGTATATGTCGTCATAGATCTTTCAGGATCTTCAGGTGAAGGTAAGACCTTTCAATGTTTTATCTTGTTCCTCCCATGAATGGTGCTTTTTAAATAGATCTGTCAAGCAACTGTTGTTGGGAAAACAGTGTACCACAGTATTGCTTAAGATCATGTTAAAAAGAAAATGTTATCTTTATGAAGTATATGTTGTTGTATCTCTAAGGAATAGCTGTCCATGTTAGCCCTGGAATTATAGACAGACAACAAGAAAAAATAAATAAGATAGTAACCAAGATGCAGTAGCTTAGAGGTGTTTAATATACCTGGAATTTATTTCCAAGTACTTATTTGTCTAGTTTTGGGCGGAAATGTGCTATAAACCAGACACTAACTGTTAAATTTGTAGAAATAGATGTTATACACATCAAGTGTTTCATCATACTAAATTATTAGTATTTTCCCCACTAAAGTATTCCCTTTCCAAGCAAAGTGCATAAGCAAAATATTTTCATAATAGAAGAGTAATGGTTGTATTGGGTAATACAACACTTGCATATAGGCTTGGGGAAAACCCTAGAAATCAGGAAGACTGGTATTCCGTGGCAATTAAAGGTACTCTTAGGCAACTGTTTTTGCTAGGGATACTGCCAGTGGCTTCAGTGGGAGCAGGAGCAGGTCATATATGGTATGAAACTAATGTACAACAGTCCCAACAATTAAGAGTCCCAAAGCTCTTCTGTGTATTTTCTCAAACAAGCCCTTTATCAAGATTTTAGCTGCTGAAGTGTATTTGCTGGCATGGGGTCTTTCTTGGTGAGTCATTTTAAGCTGTGTTCTTTTGAATAGTTGTGTGTAATGTTGCCTGTCTAAACAGTGTCTATTGGTTCAGATTACTCAAGGCAGGTTCATGTAGGCCCTGGCAGGAGGAGAAATGGGAAACGGGAGTAAGCTACAGTTGTTTTGCCTGGATCACTTTAGGGATCAACAGAAGAATGTTTTGCATGTGTCATTTTGGTGTTGCAAAAGGAATAATTGCTGTCCATGGGTAATTACTAGTAGTTCGCAAAAGCACATACTGTACTAAAGCCCTATTTAAAAAAAAACACACCTTATTGCTTACAGCTGGTCTTACAGCCCTGTGGCCACATAGGGCATTCTTCACACTCTTCATTTTTACATATAAACTGCATACATGATGCTTTAATAATAAATGCATGCCCCCTAAGCAATTCTCACTCATGCCTAGAAAAGTTACAAGACAATCTGCTTTGTTGTTTACTCTCATAGACTGATCAGCCAGAGCAATATGTGGAACAAATTTCATGTTAGTACAAATAGCCATATTTTTTTCTTCCTTTTTAATTGCTTTGTCTAGTTTAGAGCTCATACAAGTAAGGATCTAACAGTCCGTCATGGTGTATGCAGATGTTCTTCAAAGCTTCCATTCACGGTTTATCAATAAGATCTTAATTCTGAATAGGAATAACCTCGCTATTTCAATCCTTTGTCACACACTGCCAGTGGTGCCGAATTGTCATGGGATTTTGTTTTTCTTTTTTATGTGAATGGATGTCCCTAGACTCTTTAAACCCTTAGGAAAAAAGAAAATCCTTTTGGAGAGGTGCACAGAATATAATAGAGATGAATCTAATAGAATTCTATAGTAAAAAGAACTTTACAGAGTTGATCGTTCTTTGCGAAATTCTGTTGTCTTTAAACGATCCTACAGAATTACATAAGTATATACATTTCTCGAATAGACTATAAAACAGGGCTGTCGAGAGATTAAAAAAAATAATTAATAAATTAATTGCACTGTTAAGCAATAATAGAATACCATTTATTTAAATAGTTTTGGATGTTTTCTACATTTTCAAATATATTGATTTCAATTATAACACAGAATTCAAAGTGTACAGTGCTCACTTTATATTTTTGATTACAAATATTTGCACTGTAAAAAACAAAAGAAATAGTATTTTTCAATTCACCTCATACAAGTACTGTAATGCAGTCTCTTTATCATGAAAGTTGAACTTACAAATGTAGAATTATGTACAAAAAAACCCTGTATTCAAAAATAAAATAATGTAAAACTGTAGAGCTACAAGTCCAATCAGTCCTACTTCTCGTTCAGCCAATCACTCAGACAAACAAGTTTGTTTACATTTGCAGGAGATAATGCTGCCCACTTCTTGTTTACAAGGTCACCTGAAAGTGAGAACAGGCGTTTGTGTGGCACTGTTGTAGCTGGCATAGCAAGATATTTACATGCTAGGTGCGCTAAAGATTCATATGTCCCTTCATGCTTCAATCACTAATCCAGAGGACATGCGTCCATGCTGGTGATGGGTTCTGTTTGATAACAATCTAAAGCAGTGCGGACCGACGCATGTTCATTTTCATCATCTGAGTCAGATGCCTCTAGCAGAAGGTTGATTGTCTTTTTTGTTGGCTTGGGTTCTGTAGTTTCAGCATCAGAGTGTTGCTCTGTTAAGACTTCTGAAAGCATGCTCCACACCTCATCCCTCTCAGATTTTGGAAGGCACTTCAGATTCTTAAATCTTGGATCGAGTGCTGTAGCTATATTTAGAAATCTCACATTGTTACCTTCTTTGCGTTTTATTAAATCTGCAGCGAAAGTGTTCTTAAAATGAACATGTGCTGGGTCATCATCCGAGACTACTGTAACATGAAATATATGGCAGAATGTGGGTAAAACAGAGTAGGAGACATACAATTCTCCTCCCAAGGAGTTCAGTCACAAATTTCATTAATGCATTTTTTTTAATGAGCATCATCAGCATGGATGCATATCCTCTGGAATGATGGCCGAAGCACGAAGAAGCATATGAATCTTTCGTGCATCTGGCATGTAAATATCTTGCGACGCCAGCTACAACAGTACGGTCACTTGCTGGAGGATTCTCTGCTCCTTGAAGTCTTTAAACCACGATTTGAGGACTTCAATAGCTCAGACATAGGTGAGAGGTTTTTCGCAGGAGCGGGTGGGTGAGATTCTGTGGCCTGCGTTGTGCAGGAGATCGGACTAGATGATCATAATGGTCCCTTCTGACCTTAATATCTATGAATCTATGAACAGTACCATGCGGACACCTGTTTTCACTTTCAGGTGACATTGTAATTAAGAAGTGGGCAGCATTATCTCCTGTAAATGTAAACAAACTTGTTTCTCTTAGCGATCGGCTGAACAAGAAGTCGGCCTGAGGGGACTTGTAGGCTCTAAAGTTTTACATTGTTTTGTTTTTGAATGCAGTTATGTAACAGAAAAAAATCTACATTTGTAAATTGCACTTTCACGATAAAGAGATTGCACTACAGTACTTGTCAGAGGTGAATTGAAAAATACTATTTCTTTTGTTTATCCTTTTTAGAGTGCAGATATTTGTAATAAAAAATAATATAAAGTGAGCACTGCACACTTTGTATTCTGTTGTAATTAAAATCGATATATTCGAAAATGTAGAAAAACATGAAAAATATTTAATCAATTTAAATTGGTATTCTATTTTTTAACTGTGCGATTAATCATGATTAATTTTTTTAATCATCATTAATTTTTTTTACGCAATCATGTGAGTTAACTGTGATTAATCAACAACCCTACTATAAAATGATTCCAGAAAGTCATAGAAAGATTGTGGATTTCTCCTACAGTACTGGTCTAAAACAAATCTTACAGTAGTGATCAGGCAATGTTATGGGCTATTACAGTAGAATACTGTCATATATTTTGAAAGGAATGAGACTAGCAAACTTGATCTCATTTGTAACCAGAAACCTTGGTTTTCAACTCCAGACCCTGGAGATTAAAGGCTTGTGCATTATAACTCATTACACCACCAAGACTCTTTTTCCTAAACATCATCTTTAGTTCCATCCTGGACCCACAAAAATCTAATTGTCCTGCAAAGTGAATTCCAATCATCAGCTTGTTTTCCCCCATATGCTTCTTGCATTGCTATGGCACAGTACCAGTACCAGTCGGTCTTGTGGTCCTGGCAATTTCCATAACACCCCTCTGCCCCACCCATAACAAAATCAAGGAATTTACGGGCTTCGACCACTCCTTCCTCCTTTGTGGATAGAGGGGTTGAAAACATGGCAGATCTCTAGCCCGGGCCATGAGAAGGCGTTTTGGCCTCTTCTCCACTATTGTCACTGGATGTTGTGGAGGTCCATGTATAGGTAATAGAATCTTCATATCAGGAATTGGGGACCAGGCTGTGATTGGGAAGAGTGCTGGGGCAAGGGACTGAGTGTGATGGCATTGCTACTTGGATTCCTCGCCTATTCCAGAGACAAGCTGGGAATCTACAGAAAAGTTAATACAGCCAGAGGTTTTATTGACTCTTTTGAATGCTCCCTTTCTGCACTGAGGAACATCTTTTAGAGCAGGGGGAGTTCTGTCAGTGCGGATGCACCAGAGAAGTGGTGAAGAAGGCATTTGGACTTGCCTCCAGTTAATCTCAGAGTTTCTCTGCAGGTTTTGAGGTATTCAGTGTTTTTTTTCCTTAAAGCCCCATCTCCTGGAATCGTGTTGTCTGAGAATCTCTGCTTTCATTTAAAAACAAATTTCTAGACCTCATAGTTGCAGAAAAAAGCTTGAAATTATGAGCCCTAAAGCCTCAGAAACCAGGAGGCAAACAGAAAGATTCCCAAATTTATATATATTTGTTTACAATCTTATGATTTTTAAGATAATCATTTTGTCTAGGGCTTGCTCATAAGTTCTGAACATTTGAGGTTGACAGTGCTGCTCCTGAGACTTGCAGGTTTTGGCATCTGAACCATATATCCATTCTGCACTGGGGCGGGAGGGGGGGAGGGGGAGAGGCGGAGAAGAAGCTCTGCCCTTGATGAAATGAACTGTTGCAGACTGTGCAGTGGGAGCAATCTGGACAGAAGAGTTTAGGATAAAATGCTGAGTGGACACTGCATTGTGGCACAAAGGTCCATATTTTCAAAGGCTAGTGTCTGTTGAGCAGCAAAATTGGTACATGTCCCCGTTGTGCTTTCAAAACCAGTCCTACACTTA